TTTTCTGCATATGTCAAATATGTAGAATACAAAATAAGAATAAAAAAAATCTATGACACTTGATGGAATGTCAAGTTTTTATCAACGTCAAAAAGAAAATAACAACAAATTTCGTTAATAAATTTAAAGCATTTTATTCAATTTAGATAATTTTTTTATGTAATTTCCTAAATTTCTGATAAAATGCTATTTAATGAAAAAATTTTCTGAATTTGTAAAATATGAAATACAAAAAAGAATAAAAAAAAATCTATAACGACACTTGTTGAAGTGTCAAGTATTTAATTTATAAAAACTTCAAAAATGAAGAAAACAAATTTCGTTAATTAAATTTAAAGCATTATATAACATTCAATTTAGATAATTTCTTTATGAAATTTCTGAGATTAAACTTTATGGTTAGGGATGAAGTAATCAATCGATCTTATTTATCTTATCAACTTTTGCTGATCAATTCAAGCAATTTATTCATCTAATCATCAAGTTTAACAATCTTATTATTAAGCTCATCTATTTTGGTACTAGTATCATTTTCATTCTTCTTTTCGCTTTCCTTATCAACTTTGCTGTCCAATTCAAGCAATTTAATCATCTTATAATCAATTTCAACAACCTTATTATTAAGCTCATTTATTTTGGTACTAGTATCATCTTCATTCTTCTTTTCGCTTTCATAATCATCATATAAGTTTTTATTCTCACATTTTTTGACATTCTCATCCCAGCTTTCATGACTTTCTGATTTACCAACATAATAAATATATTCTGGTTCTGGTGGCGGAGGATAGAAATATATCTTATCTAATGCCTCATAATCTGAAATTATGTCTGCACGAAATCGTAATAAAGTAACACGACCTTTCTCATATGCATTAGAATACACACCCCTAATGAAAGTTTAATCAATTTACTAATTATATTTTAAAAAGAACTTGAAAAAAAATAAAAAAAATTAAACCTACCCCATAAAAGCAATAAACATATTTTGCAAAATGGTTACTAAAAAAAAACTACCAAAAAAAGTAATAAAAGTTACTGCCCATAAATTCCATACATCATCCTGTAAATATGCACCATTTAACCAATTATATGTTGAAAGAAATGAGGTAATGAAATTTTTAGCTGGGTTATCTTCAATTCGATCAAAATCATTTTGAATTTTGAAGTTTGAATCACCCGTAATTAATGTAGATGATGATGTTTCTTCTGTAAGGTTTGTAAAATCGGGGTATTGTAATAATAGTAAAAAACTATGTGCAAATCCTGCCATCACAAGAAGCATAAAAGCAAGAAATACTCAAGTCTCATTAATAATATTTAGCATAATATAGATATATTTCGCTGGTTCTAAAAGAAATAATCCCCTATAAAGTTAAACACTTATAAATTATGAAGATAAATACAAATATAAATTTCCAATATTACCTGATAATAACCGAAGATATAAAATCTATTTGATAAAAAATGTAATAATTTTTTATTTTTAATTTAAATATTTTTTTGTCACAAAAAATTACGAGATACATACAAATTCAAACCACAATAATAACATCGTAAAAGAAATCGCGATGGTTATTTCTTGAGTCGTTATAACATTAGCAAATGCTTTTTTCGTATCAAATGAAGGAGTGACATAAACTGACATTACAATCACTGCTATGATAATTGATGCTAAATCCACAAAATTAAAAAGATTGAAGTAATGTCTCCAACCAAGATGATTAAACTGTCTGTATTCTACAACTAATAAATAACATCCTAAAATAATAGAAAAGGATAATAAGGAATAATAAAAAATTATGATATCCTGTTGCTTCAGAATGTGCCACATAAGTCCCACAAATTGCTGCAAAACAAGCTGCGAATAAAATATAACGAACAAAAAGTTGTAGTAAATAGTTTCTTGCTGGTTTCCATTTATAATCAATTACAGCTTCCATTACAGGGTTATTAAATATATCATTATTACTTTTATTTCTAATTATATCTACAAATGGACTAGATTGTGCATAACGATAATAATCTCGTGGGATAAATATTAATTTCAAAAGTTTGATAATAAGTTGGAGATAGGAGGTTTCAAAATTATTCGTTTCAAAAGTTGAAATATTAACAACAGTAAAATTATGTAAAGGAACTATTTTTACTGCTGAAGGAAATTTATGATTTGTATAAAGAAATATTTTGTAACTTATTTCTAATATTAACTTCAAAACCTTTCCTAGAGCTTTAAAATTAAATTGTAGCTCACTTGTTGAAATAGGTTTTGAGATTGAATTAAATGCTATGAACTTATATTTTGCAATATTAAAATTTTTAATAATATCTTTGTGTACAGGAATATCTGATACTTCTATACCTTCCATGCATTTTTTATAAAATATTTCGGGTATACAAAACTCTATTTAAAAAAATTATTTTTATTTAAAAAAGATAATAATAGTTTAAAAGCAATTTTAAAAAATGATAATACTGTACATACCTAAATTATAGGAATATAAATCTGGTATTGCTTTTGAAATAGTAATTAACCATCCATGATGTTCAGTTGCATTTTTCAAATAATATTCAAGTAAATAAGTTACAACCAAAATTTTACGGTTACGTTCAAGACCTATATATAAATTTTCATTAATTAAAATTATTAATTATTTAAATTTTATAAATACTCAAATAATGAATAACATTACCAGGTTTACACAATCTAATAGCTATTTGCAAATCACTTTTATTTGAATTATTTTTAGATTCAGTCCATCGAGTTATTCTTAGTATATGTAAATTTGTATATTTTACTACATCATCACCAAATAAATACATTTAATAAGAGTATTTGAGCCACCAATTATAATGCTTGTCATAAGATTATAGTGAATATCTAGTATTTTCCAAATGTCAGGATCATAAGAGAAACATTATTCTTAATTTCTTCAAATACTATTATTATTAGAAAAAGTTAGCAATTATTTATTATTCTTTTTTGCTTTAAAATAACAGATGTATTAATATTAAAAATTAATAATTACCATGCTGGTTCTCATATCCTACAAATTTATTTCTTTGATCATTTAAATATTCAATGCCAATACAAGCATGCCTCATTAAATCCTTATGATCAACATCCATTTGAGGTCAATATAATTATTATTATTTTTTAATTTAAGAGAAAAACCACTTTCATAAACAAATAAATATACTATTTGTAATATTCCATTATCATCATCTTCATTCGTCCAAAAATATTCAAGAATAAAATTTTCTTTTTGCTCAATCTTACGCCATACTTGAACTGTGCATTTTCCAATATATAACTGTATCGATTCTTCTTGATCAAAATATATCCATTTCTTTTTATAATCATCAGTTATCCATGGTTCTCTATTACGTATAATAGGTAACGCTACTTCTTTTGAAAGAACTTTATTGTTATATTCTAATATTTTAACTGTCTTTTCTTTATGACCATCTTTGTATAATTCTAATTCTGGTAGAAAACTTTGATTTTCTTTTGTCTTATTATCTATTTTTAATATATGATCATATATAGATATTATTTCATCTGATTCTGTAACAACTAAATTTTTACCAGGAATCCTTGCATTATAGAAATATAAACTACTTTCTAATGTGATTTGTTTATCATTTTGAACTTCATTTGTATATAAATGCCAAATTGACATCACCATGTACTTATCTTGTTTAATTATCATTAATTTGTTATCATCCTTAAATTCGCAACCAATTATTTTGGTATCTTTTCCTAAATCTTTACGAATAATTTCCAGACCATTTTCTATTAAATAAAGAGCTATATTTCCATATCCAGAAGAAAAAGCAATCATTTGCTTATTTTTTGAAATAGCTAATACGGAATTGCTGTATTTAATCGGATGATTTGTTCCTTCATATATATTAAATATTTGTTGTATTTGCATGGTTTTTAGATCATACAATTGCATAACTTGAATAACTTCAGTGTACTTAATATGAAAATAATAATCAAAAATACATTCTTTAATTCGATACATACAAGATTCGGATTTGTATAAAGCTATTAATTCGTTCATAAAGTTTTTTGGATAATTATATTCAATAATTTAAGCTTCATATTTACTACAAGCAAAATATGTTAAGTAAATTAACAGAAAGAAATGTTAAAATAATAATAATCATAAAATTACCATGATTAAATGTAACGAGATAATTTCCATCTGGGCTAATAGAAATAAGCCGATCCGATTTTTTTATAAGACGTGCTGGGTTATGATAAAATATATTTATTTATATTACTTTTATTTCTTAAATAATATCAATGATAGAATAGAATACAACTTACAAGCTATTTCATTTTCAAATTTTTTAAAATCGAAATTTAGTCATTTTTAGTAAATATACATAAATAAATACATGATACAATAAAAATCAAAAATAACTTACGCGCTATATTATATTGAATAATTTTTAACTTCAATTTAGAGTTGTTATAAAATACATAAATTCAATAATACAACAGAAACCACTTACGAACTTGCATTATTAAGATATTTAAATTTATATTGTTTATAAATTTAAAAAAATAAATAGTACAAAAAATAACATACCTGCTTTATTAATGAATAATTTTTATTTTATTTTTATAAATTACACATAAGTAAATGAATATAATAGAAATAACTTACATGATGTATCATCCTTGACTAATTCGAATTAAATTTATTCATAAATGAAATTAATTATATATTATGTACAATAATTTTAAAGTTAAGTTTAGTCGAGATTTATAAACTATACAGTGAATCTTACAGTCTATATCAAACATTACAATTATACATTAATCGATGATACATAATTTTAAATTTCAATTTAGTTTTTATAAATAAATCATGCAATTGAAATAAATTAACTTTACCTTCTATATTTTTAATTGAAAATTTCAAATGAAAATTAGTCAAGTTTCATAAACAATAATTACAATAGAAATAGCTTACTATTTATAGCTATATGATTAATAAATAATTTTAAACTTAAATTTAGTCGAGGTTTATAAACTATACAGAATGATGCAATAAAAATCAAATAACTTACTAACTACTGTAACTATATCATTTAGTAAATTTAAAGTTAAATTTAGTCATGATTTATTATTACACGTTAATAAATGACACAGTAGTAATGACTTACAATTATCTATATGGTTATTAAATAATTTTGAACTTAAATTAGTCAAGATTTACAAATGACCCATTAATAAATACATAGTAGAATAACTTACAAGTTTTAGCTATATGATTATATGGGTTGATTGCTAGGAAAATCAGGTTCCGGGAATTTTTTAGCAAAATTGAGATTTTTATTGCATTTTAG